GGAATTTTATATATAAGATGTATTTTTAATCTTTACAAAAAATACAGTCAGTAGTTAAATGACAATATTTTTTTAACTTTAAGGTCTGAAGATCAATGTCTGTAGTATCAAGTACCTATATAGAATATATAGATACTCATTTTGAAGTATCTTGGTCATAGTTTCCGAAGGGGGAAGGCAAACTAAGTTATTTTTCTGTATAGCATTTAAAAAAAAAAAAAAAAAATTGAAAGTGGTTCTACTAAAAGGAAGGGGGGGGGGGTTGAATTGTTGTGAATTTAGAAATATATCTAATATAGTGTTTTTTTAGTTTAAAATCAAATGGTGCTTTTTGTGTTTTACGGTAATCTACGGTATCTAAGTTTTAAGTTTTTTTTAAATTTTTTTTAAATATATTTTTAGAGAAAGTTAACCCCTTAGAGGTACTTTTTATAAGTTCAATTAATTTATCATTAAATTTATTAACTAAAATATCCACATCATAATCAAGTAGGATTAGTAAATAAATTATACTAATTAAAAGATAGAAGAAATTCATTTAGACGGGTGAAATTAATGAGTATGTTAGTAAGATTAGGTACAATATTTTCAGTACCACATTTATTGATAAAATTGTTGGTATTGATACAAATAGCTAAGCTATAGTTATCTGTAATATCGGTTTTAATAATATAAGAAGACAAGTTAGATATGTCATTTGTAAAAATATGTTCAAAGTACTTCAAAGTACTGATATATCTATCACGGTAAAAAAATCATTGGTAATTGTGTACATTGGTAAAATTTGTAACCACCCTATTATAGGTATTCAATATTATCAATATCGGTACTCAATTATGTCGCTTACAATATTTACACTGCTAATAATGCAAAAATCAACCATTCTTAATGCACTAGTCGCTTATACCTTTGTATCATTGATAAAGCTGATTGTTCTGAAATTTTGTTATCAAAAAGTCAATTAGGCCAAAAGTGTCGTTTATGTCCTTTTGTCTATTAAGGCTAAATATTATATAGCTAACTTATAATCATATACTTTAATTCTTTAAATAGGTACATGCTATAAGTTCATTTCTTTTTTGCTCACCGCTTAGATTATTAGATTAAAAACATGGATGAGATCACACATGGGGCAAAGTAGATTGGCTGGTTTGGCATTACTTAATGTACATAGGGCTATAAATGTAGGTATTTGTTGAAGAAAACCATAGGTTGATTTGTGATTGAAAAATAAGGACATTAAAGTTGTTATTACTCCAGGAAATATTCAATAATAAGTACAGCTAACTCGATATAATATTTATATTTTTGAAAAATTGCATCATATTTCATAATACATAATTATAAAACAGAAATACTATAAAAAAATAATTATTGTTGTGAACTTCAGATAAAAATCATATATTATTTTTAACGGTGTGGTCATAATAAGAGTGCATAATAAAATATACGAGTGCATATTATTGAAACATAGATTCAATATACTGCAGTGTCAATAGATAAATATTATTAATTTATGGTTTTAGTGGAGGGTCGTTGGAGGATTCCCAACAACTGGTGGAGTAATTGGTATAGCAGGCCCAGGATGAACTGTACCATTCGTGGGAGTCGTACCATTCGTGGGAGTCGTACCATTCGTGGGAGTCGTACCATTAGTGGGAGTCGTACCATTCGTGGGAGTCGTACCATTCGTGGGAGTCGTACCATTCGTTGTGCAGTTGGTACTGTTCACGCAACTTCCATTAGTAGAGGTCTCAGGTACTAATGGTGTTTGACCATGCATTAATTGCTATATTAATATAATATAATATTAGTTCATAAAATACATACAATTTAAAAAAACTTCCAGACAAGACATTTAATTTAACGTTTAGGTACTAACTAAACTTTGATTCTGTTTTTTATTTAATCTGTATAGATTATTCATAAAAATGTCCAGAATAAAAAACTGTTTTACTTCAGAATAAGTAGATAATTAATGGTCAAAATTGTGATTTGTTGTTTTAAACAAATTATAGATACATACATCTAAACATTATCAATATCTACAACTACGTTTTAAGTTTTTATCAAGAATGGTGTAAGAGTTTAAATTTTCAAAGCTAGTGTACTTCAAAATTTAAAAGCCATGGTCAGGTTTCAGCAAATAAATAAATACGAAAAATAGTCAACACAGATAATAATATATACCTAAACAACAGTATTTAATCTAAATAAATAAATATTAATATTGCCTTTACTTAAAATGAGAAAAAAGATCTATGATCAGCCATTTAATGTAGATTTTTGAAAATCAACTACCATCGGTAATAAAATATAATGATCATACGATTTTTTTTTCATTTTTTATAAACATTATTATAAATAATGTATAATTTTAATTTAATTAGTTGAGTTTTATAGTTTTAAGTTTGTGTGTGTCATAATAAGATTCATAATTCATAATGGCACCTTATTGTAACAAATAAATAACTTTTAGTCGTTAAAGTATCTCACAAAAATCTACTAATAACCTAATGAAATCTGTCTCCTCCACATAAAAATAACAACCACCATACAACGAAATTAACTATCAAATTTGCATTAATCATAATGTATGTTTTCAAGTAACGGCTAAAAAATCATCGAAATGATATAATATAATTTTTTTAAAATGTTATGTTAATATATTTATGATAACTTTTAAACAAAACATTATCTAACTGAGAAAATGGTTGGAAAATAAGATAAAAATAATAAACAATCTACACATTAAACTAGTTACACAACATTTGTTTGGTGTATACATTAGAATATTAGATACACATAGCTTATAATAATAATAATAAAACAAACATAAGTTATTCTGTTCTTACGCAATAACTGAAGATGACAAGGACCACTACTACATTGAAGCCAAATGTATTCATGTTGGAATTTTTGTTAGTAATTAAATTGTTACACAGAAATACAATATTAGAACCAATGGAACCAGATGGTGTTTTGTGAAATATGAGGTTTCTTTTATACGAAATTCCTACCAATTAATTAATACCGTCAAATATTTAAATATGTTTTTGCCAGATACGAAATCTAAATAATTAGGTACTAATAAAAAATAATATATGCATTTTATGTTTACTAAGTTAATCATGATTTATTAGCTATGCAATTTATCATATTCAAACATTTTAATTCAATATCGATAATATTATATATGTAACAAACATTATAGGTACCTCTTAAAAGTCAAAATAAATATTACTGTTTCGTTATTCATAATTATTATGCATATTAGGAACATTATTCAAATTTTATAATGTCTAGAAAGAGATTATATGAGGATTAGGTACAAATTTCAGGTATTTGTGATTTTTTTGAACTGAATTACACAAAATCGTAGTTAATAGATTAATAGATCTATTATCCCAGTTTTTCTCGATTTTTCATAATTATTAAGAAAATTTAAAAAATGACCTTCACAGTTTATCAACTAGATAGGTATTGTTTTTCCAAAACTATCCCCGAAGTTGATGATCTGAGCAAAAATGTTGGTAGAAAAAGAAACGCTTTTACAAAACATAAACTCGAGTGTTATTATGGTGTTTTGTAGTATACATTTTGTGTATTTTACGAAAACGGTTTTTCTTATTCATTCAATATCCTTATATCCTTATGTGTTTATTGTAATATCTAGTATGTTTTATCAGTGTAATGAATAATGGACATTTTGCTGTTTTTTTCTAATCAAAAGTAAATTTGTTTGGTAGATTTTGTTTTTAATTACAACAAACCAATATAAAGTAAGATTATTTTGATACATAATGTTTATTTATTTTATCATATTAAACTAAATTGTAGTAATAGAATTCAAGAGTATTAATTACTTTTCCAATAAATAAATCCCGGATAAATTAAAACAATATGAAACAAATTGTTACAGTTTGCCAGTAGAGTATATAACACAGAATAGAGAATATAATACAATGTATAATGTATACAATTATAATTGTATGGACGTGAACATTTGGACACAGCTATCTGGACGCCGCCATCCAGATGCCGCCACATGAACGTGAGGGACATTTGGATGCGTAAAAAAAAAAAAAGAAGATAATTATAATGCTATAAATAATAATTTAAAAAAGTACATAATAATTACATATATTATTATTATTATTAATATTACATATTATATATTAAATACAAACTCAAAATATCTGAATATCTGTATTCTATATCCATACTATAACAATAATATAACACAATAAAATGTTGGTTTAATGTTAATCTTATTGGATGGATATTACCTATTATTAAATTGTGTTATTTTTTAATTTTACTGGATAGATATTATTTGGTCATAATCAGAATCGATAACCGGAATCGGAACTTCAATACCAGGAAATTTTAACAATAAAAATATACCTAGTCAACCGACATCAGTGCAACATATGCACATCAATACATTCCATAGTTTTATGTATCATATAAAATAATTATTTATTAATTACCTAGTATATGTCATTATTAAAATCAAATCGTATTATAAATGTTTTAACAAAAATGGTTACATTTATTTATTTGATCAATTTAGGTACAACGGTCTTAAGAAATTAATTTTTATTTTATAGCAGTTATTCAAATATTCAGAGTTTATAGTTAATATGTAACAATAATAGTATGTACAATTATTATATACTTTTTTTTTGGCGTCCAAACAGCGGCATCCAAATGCCTCTTGCGTCCATGTGGCGGCGTCCAGACGGCCGCGTCCATTTGTCCTAGACCCAAGTTAATAAAACGTTTTATTTTTAGTTTTAAATTAAAACCTAAGTAGTTTATAAAATGGCCTAACATCAATTATCACAATAATAGAAATTATAAATGTATAAATTATAAAAATTCAAAGTGTCCAAATTGTAACAACTAACGTCGTTCTCCCATATGATTTTTATCTACGACGTAGAGTTTAAAAGTTTTACATTGATTTAGATTAAGGTAGAAACAAAGCTCCTGCAGGTATTGTTATTTAACAACTAAATAAGTATATATTTGATGCCAGGATAAAAGGGATTAAATATTTAAAACACAAATACTTATATACAAACTAGTATACTAAATTTACAAAATGTTGAAAAAACACGTTAATTTAGATTAAAATAAATTAGAGAAAAAGAAATTATAAAAAAATGATTCCAAAAATAGATTTAAACTCTTTGTTACTGAGACCAGGAATATATTTTAACAGAAAAATGTACAAATACTAGATACATTTAAAAGATCATGTAAGTATAGGTTAAAAATGCATTACATGAAATATATGATAATTTGTATTCAAATAAAATTATGCCATTATTATTAGTTAACCTTAATTGTTATAATTTTTAAGTCAAGTAAAATCTTGACAAATGTCAAATAAATTGGTGTACTTAACAAGGTAATCATGGAGATTAGTACAGCAAATGTTCAAATATGTATTTTGTACCCATTTACGGCTTAAAAAATGTTGTCATAAATCAAAATAAACCTCAGCATTAAAACAGCTATAAATAACTTAAAAATATTTTGGTTATTTGTTATTAGCTTTTTTTTTCGATTTTTCTTGTAATTGTTATAGGAAATGTATGAGAAATTTTTTTTAAATGACCCCCTCTGCATTAACAAGTAGTTTAAAATACTACAAAAAACTGCCTATAAAGTTATTGATTGTACATGTACAATCAGACAGATTATAAAAAAAAGACGTCCAAGGATAATGGAGACGGGTGCAGCCACTGTTATACATAATTTAATGTATACCTGTAAGCAACGATAAACCATTGCTTACGAAAAAACGATTCTGAACGCAATTCAGTTGATAGTGATGCTTTTTTAACAATATATATGTAATTTTACAGTAAAATGATTAAATGGGCTTTATATATTTTCTTTAATAATATTTGTTTAATGTTGTACCGATTTTCCAGTTTTCCTACGTTTTTCTTAGTTTTACCATGTTTTATCCCGGTTTTTCACATTTGCTGGGAAAACTTTTTGGGGAAATTAAAAAATTATGAAATTTCTTTTTGGAAACATTGCTATTATTAAAATTTGGAGTAAAATTGCTGGTAGAAAAGTTGTGCATAGACAAAAAAATCGAAATATTTTAGTAATATAATTCGTACAATTTTCTATTTTTTTGGGGGGTTTTTTAAATTTGATGAGAAAACTTCTTAGAAAATCGAAAAATGACCTCTCTAGGTAAAGTATCCCTCCCACACCAATTTCCTTTCAGGGAAGTTGCTACACTTAGAAATCCGATCTAGTTTTCTGGTAGAAAAATTGTTAATATATAAAAAAAATAAACATCTTTATAAATTTATAAGCTTCTTCACTCAACTCAGAATCTAAAAATCACATATCATATATTATGATACATGGGTATATTGCAATATTATGGTATATGCGATATGCATTTTTATAATAAGTCTGCTCAACAGAATCTATACAAAGTTTGTGATAAATGGTAAATGGTAAAAAAAAACTAGACATCTACAAAATGGTAGTGCAATACATTGTAAATTGTTTAATTCAAAATAGTTTCATCATTATAATCGTATGATTATAATATGTTACGTTGTACGGAAATATAGAGAAATCGTTGGCATTTCACGGGCTGCCATCGTTGTTAAATAACAATTACCTATATCGTATGACTGTCTATAATATTGGTCGATACGGTGTATAAAATTCTTAAAATAATAGTGAAATGGCGCACGAAAATACTGGTACGTAAAACGGTTGAATCCGCGTGTAAAAATATAAATACGACGAATTTTTTTTTTCCTAATACCTGCGGCGACTCCCATCCGGATATTTTATACGGCCTACATACATATATAATATTATATTGCGGTTATTACCCAAACACGGGTCGGAGCCTACGGCAATAAGAATGCGACGACCTGGCCGAACCGATAGCGCGGGTCGGATTCTGCTCCGGGTTGCGGTTACGACCAACGATACCAACACTATATATTTATAGATGCCTATAATATCTAATATAGACTAGCGGGCGCCTTACACGCGGTTTCTATCGCTGTTTGGGATTTTGGAGAACGCAAGCGTTTTACCGACGTATGTATAATAATTAGGTAGGTATACATCATGACCACAATGTTTCGCATCAAAACGTTGGTCTCCTAACCTCATAAGTTTTACATACAACATAAAACCCGTATTTATAACGAATCAAACTCTATAATTATTAATTTATATTATAACATTTTGGATTTGAACAGTGCACTGTTCCACTGCAGTGGTGCAAAATTTACCTCACATTTCTGGCAGTGCAAAGCAATATTTAATGTATTTGAATTTGATTTCTTTTGCTAAAGAGGTACAACTGTAAATTGCTTTTTCCTAGTGTACCCTGGACAAACGTACTTAATCATAGACTGCTTTTAGCATCTCCTGCCAATTTATGCAAGTAAACAGACGGTATAATAATGCTAAGCAAACAATTAGTTTGCTCCCTACTAAACTAAAAAAAAAAAAAAATGGAACTGATAAAAATTTTGAGAGGGTATCGTATTTAATCACCAACTAGATCCAAAATGCAAAAAAAAAGGTCTCTTGGTATTTTTTGATTAAAACAAGAAAGTAGAAACAATAAAGCATACACATTTTTAAAAAATAAATTACCTGCAAGCGAAGCAAAACGATAAATTCATGCTACCACATTTAAATGTTGTGGTGCAAGTGTACGCCGCTGATTTGGGAAATATATAGTTAAGTAAAAATCGAACGACCACAAAAGGCATAGTAAAATAATGTTGATCTCGTTTATCTACATTAATAATTTTTAACTTTTTTGACACTATATTAGGTCAAAAGGACCACTTAGAAAAATGTCGATAGATCTCGGACCACCTTGATTTGTTGATGACTTTTATTTTGTTTTTTTACTTATATAAAAATATATTCACAAATTTTGTTTTATAACTCAATGACATCTTTCAAGATATCATTAAGTTACTCATTGACCTTAACAATAAAATGATTTTGAATTATACTTCAGATACCTATCGTTTTTATATCATCATATTCTAGGAAATCGATTAAATTCATCTTTATGTTTTTGTAGACGGTGTTAAATGTTGTATTGGATCTCAATTATGAAACCGGATGGTTCCGACAATCGTTATCGCTTTACATAAATTATTTTTTCAATTTTTAGATATAGCTCGCAGACCATAGATTAAGAACCTATGGTCCACATTAAAAAATTTTCAGGGACTCAAGTCCATGCATACCTTCTCCCTCTCTTGGCCTTTATTCCACGCAAATTGGATACTAAAAATGACTACCCATCTTATTCCCACCCTCGATATTAATATCCATTACCGTTTCCTGGTCCATATACTGCGTGCATCTCCTCCGAAATAATCTCTTGCTCTTTCTTTAGTATATACCCTTTTCCGGCTTCCATTTACACCAATCTACTAGACATATTTTATCATTTACCCTTTTCCTAGCACTCAACACAACACTCATGTCAGGTACTATGCCTACAAGGTTACAACCATATACAAGCATATACGTAATATTACAATAGGCAGCACTGTAATAATACGTAAACTTAAACGACGAGAAAAT